TTGCCAAGCAGACTGCGAGCTGCCCCGCGTCACACATTGTGTCAGAGCCAGCCTTCAGCCTTTGTGGCACCAGGAGAGCCTGCTGTGGGAGCGATGCTGCCTGCCCTACCACATTCCTCCCCGTCTGCCCCGCACCGTGCCGACGGCTCCCAGATCAGGCTCCCAGCCAGTGGGAATCCCTCCTCTCCTCCCCTCCCTGTCCCACTGCTGCTCTGATTTAATCCCTCCTTTGGTCAGGTTCCTAGCAGCTGTTCCTATTTCCCTGCCCTTCTCCCATCTTGCCAGCCACAGTTCCCTTGCTCAGCAGATACTTGATGGTGGTTTTGCCATTTTGCAGGGAGTGCGTGGGGCAAACAAACACCCCAAATGTTCCTGGGAAAACGGGCAAGAGACGAGGGCGACCCCCAAAGCGGAAAAAACTATTGGAAGAAAATTTACTGAGGTATGGAAAGCCTCTTCCTGCAACAGATATGAAACGCATCTGTTCCCAGAGGGAAGTATCATGTACTTCTGGGGTTCCCCCGATAAGTATGTTTATAGCATGCAGACATTATTTCAATGCATCTCTGAAGTGAAGCAAGCTCAGACTTGGTGGATGCTTTGATCACCCTCCAAAGAAAATTCTGACTCTGCTGGAAGCCAAGTTTGGTGAAACAGTGGGTATCACTCTTCCAACCACCTCACTTCAGATGTAGTTCCTCTGTGCAGTGCTAGGGGATATGCTCCTGATAAAGAACACTTTCACTGCCTAGCACTTGAAGCCAAAAATCCTGGCCACTTGAGCCAGTATAGATTTTGGGATGCTTCCCTTAAGAATTGAAATACTGTCCTTGCCAAACTCCAGCCCGCACCCTTCACTTCTTAAAATTTTATGAAGCTATGATAAATATATATGTGAATATATGTGTGGAACATGTGTTCTGCATGCTGTTTTTTTTCATGGTTTTGCTGTGCATTGAATAATTGTTGTGTCCTCCCTTCTCCTCAAAAGCACCTGCATTTCAGCAATGTGAAGTAATGTATTTATTGTATCACTCCTTCTCTTTCTTTTTTGGCAGGGAGAAGGCAGAAGAGAACTTGCTAATCCACGAGACTCAGATAAGAAATGGTAAAGAGATTTTGTGAGGTCAGGGTTGATATGATCGGCTAACACGGCTCCTAAATTATCAAAGCCTGGAGAGATGCCTTTCTTGGGAAAGGGAGAGTCTTTCTACCAGTGGTTGGGGCTAAGTTTGGAAGGCGGGGTTGGTGTTACAGGCTGCCTTTCAGCTGGGAGCCTGGGCACCTGCAGGCTTCCTATCTTATCATGGATTAGTTTGGATGAAGAAATGTAACGTCTTGGGTTACACTAGGCCTTGGGGGCCCACCTACTCACTAAAGTTGATGAAATTGGGCTCTGAATGGCCCTTGCTCCTCCGGGAATGAGGAACACAAGCCGCTGTTTGTAGCAGCTGTTTTTTGGGGGGGCTGGGAAGAGAGTAGTGTCAGTGATGCCAAGACAGGGAAGGAAGAACCTTTTTGATTCTCCTTACCTCTCCCTCCTGGTGGCCATTGGGTGGCTGAGCTTGGTAAATTATGTCTTGCGGATATCCACCCCAGGGTTAACAAGGCAAGCAGAAAAAGCAAGTTGGCAACATAGTGTGAAAGTAAGTCTGAGAGGATTGGGACTCATTTTTTATACATGCAGATCCATTGGCTTCCACATAACCCAGGGGCTCAGCCTACCCATTGCCCCACAATCAAAGGCAAGGGTGGTATTTTCTGTCCCATGCCTCCTTCGCTTCATGGTTTGTCTTCAGATTTCCTGGCAGCTGCTTCGGAGCTGGGCAGCAGAGCCAGAGCAACACCCATGAGATGCTGGGGGTTTTATCAGATCTTTGTCTTTCAGCAAATTGTGTCACCTCACCTGCGGAGTAATCTGGTGGCACAAAGCAGTGCCTTAGTCCTGGTTGCTTTTGAAACAAGTTGCCCATCGGCAGCTAGCAAGGGAAGGGGAAACGAGGGGACAGGCTCTGGGGGCAGTGTGCAGGTAAGCTTCACACTGCAGGCAGGCAGGGGACAGCTTTGCATAGCCAGGGCCACAAAAACCAGCACATGGTTGGTCCTTCACCATCCCAGTTACAAGTCCCCAGTACTTTAACTTGAGCTGAAACTAAGGGCAGGCTAAGCTGCATGCTGGCCTGTAACCCGGAGCTAGCACACACTTGCTCTGTGCCACTGCTGCAGCACGGAGGTTTCTGACAGAGGGCAGGTGACTGGAGGGTGACTGCAGCTCTCCAGTCTTCCTGGGGCAACCTGATAGCTCATAGGCCAGAGCTGCTGGCAGCTCAAAGCCAGAAAGGGCCCAGGGTCAGGTTCAGAGATAAAAGGGCTCTGTTTTTTGCTTCTTTATATTTTTCATAGTTAATTTGCTTGAAAATGCAGTGAGAAGCTGCATGACATCTGTCAATGGGGGTGGTGACCATTACTTTCTTTCCAGTAGCCTGTGGTTAGCTCTAAAAAAGTCTAGAGGGAGCTGAGAACCTCTCAGCCTGAATGGTTTTGAACCAATGTCATCCCCCTCCCCAAAAATGGGCCACAGCTTTTTTTGCTTAGAGAGTGTCCTTGGGCAAAAGTATGCAAGTTGCAACCCATGAGGCTTCTCTGCTCTTGTGTAAACATTTGTGGAGCAGGAACCACATTCCCTCTCTCCAGGTGGGTGTTCCAACCACCATGAGAGAAAGTCCTTCCTTTGCAATTAGTATTCAAATGTTTCACACAAGGCAGAACAGCTCAGAGTGTCTTGGTAGTTGGAACATGCTTTAGAGCAGTGGGAGATCTGCTTCAGATTGCACTCTGGATCGAGCAGGGATGGGATGTGAACTTTCGGAACTTCCCTCTCATCTGGCAGCCTGATGAAGCCCATCCTTCACTTCCTCTGCTGCTCTTTCAAGTACCTGCAAACAAAATGTTTCATTTAGGGAGAATGGGAGGTTTTATTCACCACAGTAAAGGTTTGCAGTGCTTTAAAAAAAAAAAAAAAAGGAAAAAATGGGCTTATTTCAAATAACATTAATTTTCAATGTTTTTCTTCTGCTGCCAGACTAAATCGGACATTTGCATTACCCTATGTCTTGCTCTGGCTGACAGCCTCCACTACAAGAAACAAATCCTTTTCTTTGGTCCGTCAGAACTGGAATGGAGGCTTGCTACAGGGATGTCACACTACCCATGTGTTGCAAAGTGCCACCATTACTTCTTCACCTGTGTACTTCCTCTGTGTCTTGGCATCACTTTCAGTGTTGCTAGGGGAGGTAGCAATGCTTCTGGTGGGTCAAGAGAGTCTTGGGTCTTTGGGTCTCTAGCAAAGAGCATGTTTCTCATAACAGTGGCCATTGTCAGTATCTTTTGCTCTTCCTGAGCCCTGTCATAGCTGCTGTGGAGATAACATCCTTTCACGTTGTTGAAGGGTCCCAAGGGCCTGGCCGTGGGACATGGTGGCTGCTGTGTCAGACGGAAGAGGAGTGGAGGCAGGTCACAGAGAGCTTCAGAGAGAGGACTTCCCTTAGAGAGCGGCAGCTCTACAAACTCTTGAGTGAAGACTTCCTGCCGGAGATCTGCAACATGATTGCACAGAAGGTGAGGAGACATGACATCCTGTTTACCTCTCTTTGACTGCTTCCAAGAGCATGGACATTTGCTGATTGAAGGAGAGCTAAATCCAAGCAGTCCTCATCCCCTCCTGCTCCCCCCGCCTTCAGCCTGCAACTGTCATGGAAGCGGGGGCTGTTTGGTTTGTCTATGGGGAGAAAGACTCTTCCCCCATGGAGTGGCAGGGCTAGAGTTTGTTCGTGATTGCATGGCAGTGTAGGTAGGATGGCTGAAGGGGTTACTGTCTTCAGCTGTGTTCTGTGTCGCTTTTCTGCTAGCAGGGAATCTGTCTGCTTTTGAACTGCTGCGATTTACAGCCTAGCTTTTCTCTGCAAACTACCTCTGATTGCACTTTTACTGCTGTTTCTCAGCTGGCTTTGCTGAAGGGGCAGTGGCTGCTTTAGCTGTCCTAGCTGAATCTGCTTGAGCTGGTGTGTCAGAGCCCTGAAACTCCAAAGGGTATTTTCTGTCAACTGAATGTTTTCAGGTGGGACAGATTTGGAATGGGATCCTGCGGCTAAGATGGCTTTGTAAAATGGGCTCTGCCGTCAGCGTGATGTTCTTGGATTGAGTTCAGTTTGCTTGTTTGCTACCCTTGTAAAGCAAATAGGGATTTCATGGTCACTTCTAGCCCCCAGAGTTTCTCCTACCACTATCACCTATGTGCCCTAATTTCCTCCACTTTCTTTTTCCTTCCCTCAATTCTCAACCCTGTTTCAGGAGAAGCGTCTGCAGCGGACAGAGTTTTCTCCCAGGTGGATGTCTGACCATCAGCCCATCAAACCAATCAAGCAGGAGGTGAGGGGGGGTGCGAGGGGGAGGATGACAGAGGGAGGTGAAAGCAGATGCCTCCTGGGGGAAAAAATAAACCGCAGCATCGCTATTCAGTGGGAAGGAGTAGTTTGAAAGTGCTTGTGTTGAAAGAGAGAGATGGGTGGTAATGCCTGTCAAAGGCAGGCTGACACTCCGGGTTTCTATGGCGAGCAGGGAGGTGCTGCCCTCTGGATGGCAGAGGTAACTGGCCTCGCCGCAGACTCTGGTGCAGCTGCATATGGAAATCTGCACTCAGTCTGAGGAATTCCACTTCAATGAAAGTGCTGGCACATTCGAGGCAGTTCAAAGAAAAGTTGAAGAAGGATGAGAGGGCTAGAAGAACCGGCTTACAAAGGGAAATGACAGAAATTCAGCCAAGGGGAAAACGTGAGGCTGCAAACACATGAGAATGTAGATAGTGCAGAGGGAGAGAAGAATGACTGATGCAGTATGGCGCTGAGCTAGGAGGGGGTCAGCTGGAAATGGAAGTCACAAGTTAGGCTGCTCAGAGAAATGCTTATCGAACTGCAGCCGTGTTGGCTGAAATGGCTCTTCCCGTGCCTCTTCACCCTCATCTCCTCTCCACCCCATCAGTGTAACAGCGCTGCCGCTTGCGGGTCTGTGCAGTGAACCAGACCCAGGAAAATGACTGGAGTTAAATATAACCTTTTTCTTTGGTCACGGTTATTTTTAACGTAGATCAGCTTTCCGATCCAGTTCACCACGCAGCCCCCAACAGTCACGTTGGCACAGCCAGGGGCATGGTACGGTGGAGATGGGGGATCTTTGAACTGGCAACTGCTACCCAAAGCAATCGGTCAGGCAACATGGGACTATCTTAGGAGGAAATAATTGGCTTGATTCTATCAGGCCATGGCATAATCTCTCACTGTAGATGTAATGAAAATGTAGTTACCTGGTGTTTTGTCAAACCCTGGGAAATTAAACTGCAGGGAATATTCCACGTGAGCCAGGGCCAGGAGTTCCTGCAAAACAAAGGAGAAAGTGCAGTTCTTCGCAATAAATATAATTACTTAGAGAAATAAAAGGAAGGAAGGATCTCTCATCATGCTGCAGATAAAAGCCTGCTGAGAGGAAAATAAGACCCCAGCGATGGTCAGTTTGGGGCCTGAATTGCTCTCTGCAAAGCCCACCATGCAGGAAGCGCAAGGACACATGTTTGCTCGCAGGCAGCAGAAATCCCAGAGGAGGAGGGGAGTGGGAAACACATGGAGCCTGAATGATGCTAATCAGTACCGCAGGTGCTCCAGGTCTGCGGTGGCAGAGGGCTGTTAATTGCTGCCTGTGGGACAGTGAAACATTTCCAGGGAGCGGGGGGACCCTCTTGGCACCTGCTGCGCCAGGGCGCAGGGAGACAGCTAACGCAAGGGTGAGGGCATCCATGCCGGCTCCCCAGCAGGCCGTGGCAATCATCCCTGCCACAGGGGAGCCAGGGAAATTGCCACCATGTCTGATGGCTTGATTGCCCAGTGAGAGGTGGGCAGCAGGCGAGTCTAGGGGAGAAAACTTCAGCCCAGTGTAGGGGTGACCCACTTCCTCCCAGCTCCATGAGCTGGATGCCGCTTTGGTCTAAGATATAAGTGCTCCGTAGGCTTCTAATCCTGTGGGGGATTTCTCAACAGGTGGTTCAGATTAGCTCCTCATTAAAGAGCCGCCTGAGTAGCACCTTCATTAGGGTAGTGCTGCGGAAACTGGAGTAGGGAAGGTCTGGAGAATGAGAGGTTGGGGCGTGCGCCTGGAGGGGGCTGGGGTGCCTGGGCCACCATGCCTCCTGGCCTTCTGCCCCCGAAGTCTTATACCTAGTGTCTAGAGAGCAAAGCAAAAGGCAGAAGTTTGTCCCTTTCGGGGTCTCAGTGAGGGGAGACAGTTATGTTGTGTCCTGGAGTGCTCTCTGGCGGAGGGAAGGAGGTGGTGATGCCATGGTCACAGATGCTACGGGTGTATTTTATCCTCTGAGTAGGGAGGAAGCTGAAGAAACGTCCCTTTGCCATCTCTTAGGTCAGGAAGGAAGTTTTAACTTGTGTTGGGTTCTTGTTTTTATTGTTCCAATAGGTGTCCGCTTCCATCACATCTAGTAAGAATTTACTTGTTTGTGTTTGCTTATTTTTTGAATCTTGAATTGAGCACCTTCATCTCAGGCACCAGGCAGTAGGTTTTGTCTGAAGTGTCTCAAAGAGCCTATGCCAGGATTGCTGCTGCCCTGCAAGCGCTGCAGGGAGCGAGTGCAGTTGTGGGTGTCTGCTACAGTCCTTGGTGTCAGCTACATTGTGTTTGTGGTTTCTGCTTTTCCCTTTTTTTCTTTTCCTAGATCTTCTAGGATGACATCCTCTCCTTTACTTAAAATTGTCTCGTTGCTTTGTTGATGCCATATTTGTGGTGGGTTGATCTGGAACGTTCTATGGATTCTGTGTCATGCCATTACAGTATAGGGTGCTGAATGCACCCTGCAGGCTTGGAGAGGTCCTGGTGTGAGCACTGCAGGTTGGATGGTGTGTTCATGTTTCCATAGAACATGAATGGTGGAAGCTGTATGAATCCAGAGGAAGGGAAGGTCTGATCTGTGCACCAACAGTTGAAGAAATTACTGTGGCATGCCAGGCTGGCTTAGATCTACTGGCTGGAGAATCTAAAGGCTGATAGTCATATCCTCAATAACATTTCTTGGTGTACCAACTTCTGGTGGCTGGTTCCTGCTCACCTCTTTCTCTTCTAATTGCTGCAGAACCTGACTTTTTTGGTTCCCACTACAATTTAAAGGTTGATCAAAAAAGTTAGGGGAAAACTGTTTGACAACGTTCAGGGTGAGGCTTGAAAGGAAGTTGTTTGCAGTGCATGAGTAGAAAAATCATATGGTAGAGCAATGGAGACAGGGATATGAAGAGAATCAAAAACGGAAATGTAGAACCTGATTCTGTAGGTTCTTGACCTCTTGTACTTGGCATAGTAGTTTCAGTCCTGGGCATCCTAGTGTTTGGATATTGACCAGTTGGAGGAAAGGTCCGAGAGAGCAGCTGGAATGATTAGGGACCTGGAAGGATTGCATTGTAAAGAAAAGTTCAACCTAATTACAGAAGCGTGGGAGTTTTGCATAAGTGTCTGAGAAAGCCCATGAAGGTTGGAATGTGGCTGAAGAAGTAAATTTATGCTCACCCGGAAAAGCGTAACTAGAAATAATTGGATGGAATGAGGGGATAAGAAATTAACTTTAGACTGAACATGAGGAGAAGCTGGATAACCTAAAGGCATGTGGACTCACAGAATGATTTCCCTAGGAAAGGGGTAGAAGAGTGAAGTACTAATATTTGTCAAAGATCTAAAAAGGAAGATTCCCTTGTGGTGAGATCATGCTGTGGGTTTCACCTAAAAAGATGAGCACAGAATAGGTGTTTTTGCTGTCCAGTCTGTCCCTAAATACAGGATATGGTTCTAATGTCATCAAGAGTCCCATCGTCCTCTCTTGGACACTCCTTTGTGGCTGTTGGTTGTTGAAGCATAATTCTCTTAATGTATTGTTGCTGCTGGAAACGGGAAATACTTGAAGTTTGTCCATGGAGAGCTGCAAGGGAAGATTGTAAGGCAGAGGAGAAATAAACGGGACAGTGAAAACAGACAACATTTCTAGGCATTTATCAAAACACCCTGAGGTTTCACTTCTAGGCAATGAAACAACAACAAAATAGTAATCATGGTGCCAGATTTTTTCTGGGGATTAATAATGGGCCTGGAGAAGTTGATGGTCTGAGCAGCAACCAAGGGACCCCAGCTGATTGCTAATCCTCAGGAAATGCTTTCTGCTTAAGTGGTGGTTGCTGGTTATTCCCTGAAAATGAAGGTCGAAAAAACTGTAAGCACACTGTTCTTTTCTGGTCGATGTTCCCTGCTGAAAGAGCACTCATACCTCGGTCTTGCAGAAATCAAGAGAGGTGGGAGCGGCTGGTGGCTGACCAATTCATTTGTCTCTTAATTAAATTAAGCTAATATAGGTAATTCCACACTGCCATATACATATACCTCACACTTTATTGGAGAAATAGGAGCAGGCGATCCCTGGTCTGGGAAGCCTGCAGTCTACGTGGGATCAAACAGAGCCTTGCAGCCTGCTGGCAGTGGGAAGGTGAGGACGTGGGGCAATAAAGAGCCAGATGTCCTTGAATGAGAAAACTCATCGCTGGACCCAGCAGGAAAATTGTCCAAACAAGCAAGCAAGAGACAGTTCAGGAGAAATTAGCACACAGAAATATGGTGACTCTTATTTTGAACAGGAAAGGAAAACATTCCAAGTGGTACCTTGGTACAAGGCTGTACCTGTCTCTTTTCCTATCCTAAGTACCCTGTTTTATATCAGGGTAGTCCTTTCTACTCACGCAGGTAACTCTGGATGGGGTAGAGGTCTTGTGTAAGGTTGTCAGCAGTGCCGGATCATTTGCCTGGAAGGGAAATAAACATGGTACATCCCTGGCAGAGTAGCAGATTGTCTAACCCATCGCTTCTCCTTCCTTTTTCCTGCATCAATAGGGTTTCCTTGCTTGACAAATAACTTTCCTTTACATGTTGCTTTTCATCCATGAATTAATATGTACAAATCCTTTTTTTTTTCCCCCCTTTTTTTTCCTCCCCCCCAGCCATTCACTGTAGGTATGCTTTAGTACTTGCTCAAAGTAAACCTGCCTGCGCTCAGACTTCAATAAGCCAATGCATTACAGTTTTTGGTGCATCATTTTGTCACAGGTAAACCCAAACATGCTGAGTTCGATGGAGAAGCAGAGGCGCAGGGAGGAAGAGGAGGAGCGACAAATCCTTATAGCAGTGCAGAAGAGGGAGCAGGAGCAGCTGCTAAAGGAGGAGAGGAAGAGAGAGATGGAAGAGAAAGTCAAAGCAGTGGAAGGTACGTGTGACCAGTGTGAAGCAGGGACAGAAGATTTCAAACTGAGATTGAGATATTGAATTAAGATCTGCCATTGGCATTCTTTCCCTGCCAGACATGCTAATGGGAATATCTTTTCTTGTATTTATCTCTGATAAATTGACTTGACTGTAGTTTCTTTTCCTTTGTCCATCTTGTTGTTGGTGGCTGTTCTCTGGTGCACCCTTCAGGTGTGTCTTCCTTGAATCACAGGGATTTTTTCCCTTGCCCCAGCTGTATTTTTCTCTTGCTGTTTGTGTTGCTCCTAAGTTCTCTTCACTTGTCTCCTCACTTGGATCCTCACGATTTTTCCTGTGTGCAGGATTAGCTGGCTTTGCTCCTGTTGAATAGCATTTGGTCCTTTTTAGCCTAATGCATGATGAAAGAAGGATTCACCCTGAGGAGAAAGGGAAGGGGGAAAATGTGGGAGTAGCAAGAGTAATATTTTTATATTGCTACAGGCCTCATCAGTTGGAGAACTAAAAATATAGGGACCAGGCTAAATAGAGCACTGGCAAGTAGCAACGTGAGGTGTTGGTCTTGTTTTTCCATGGTTTTGAATTAAATACTGGTTTATTTGCTACAGAACAGAAATGTTGTTCTGCAAGAAACAACTGTGTTGTGTTTAACACATCAGATCGAGGCACATACAGCAGGTGTTCAGCCAGTACAGGTAGGCACTGGTGTCTAAGAGCAGGCTCATTTCTGACCACCTTCTCTCTGTCAGCCTCCCTTACAGGGATTCCTTTATCTGCTTCTTCTGTTGCAGTGGCTGTCTGGGCTGTTGCAGTTCCAGGGAAACACTCAACATCTTTAGAAAACTGTGGTGGTAATGTGTGTCAGTGTCAGTATCATGAATCCTTACATGGATAAAGAATCAGAAAAGGAAAAACATGAAGTTCATGCAAACCTTGTAAACTTTCAAGATGAAACAGTCTGCTACCAGATGTTTGGCAGACCAGATGTTATCTAAGAATAGTTTCTTTTACCTGCTTACCTTTCTAACTTTTAGAAGATCCAATTACTTGCTTGGCCTTCATGTATTCCTGGTTGCCAGTCCTGGCTAATCTATTGCTTTAAACTGAGAATCATCCTGCTTCCAGATCTGCCACAGATATCTGTTTCACCTTGGCAAATTGCATATTCTCTGTGCTTTAATTGTCCATCTGTGTAGACAAAATTAATCTTGAAGAACCAGAAGAGCTACAAAGATAACTGTACCTGTATAAACCCAGGCCATTCTATGATTCTATGAAAAAGGTATTGGTTTGGTGTAAGACGTCTTTTTCTGGGTAAATGCAATCACTACATCATCTGATGCAAAGGCACCAGAGCCATTCAAAGAAACTACCATGGAGTTGGGCAGTGGACTGTTTTAAGCCAATGTAGCATACATAAGTGCTTTTCTTGGCAGAGATGCTTTTATTTTGGTTTGTGCAGTTTCTTTCAGTTTAGTTTAAATTTATCCTTGGTCAGTTTAGGCTAAGTCAGGCAACGTCTCCTTTTAAGCTGGTCCAAAAGCTGTTTAGAAAGGTTATTTAAATGGCTGACCTGTTCAGTTAAATCACTGCAATATTTTTCATGCCCAGAAACAGCAGCCATCCAGGTAAAACTTTGGCTTCTTAACCAGCTTTCCTTATTGCCAAGCACACCTTCCATTAGCATTTACTTTCACAACAGTTCTTGTGATGGACAGAAAGTTATTTGAAAATGAACTAATTTGTTTTGCTTGGTTCGGACTTGTAAAAAAACTGGACAGCTGTCAACAAAGATTTTAGGGGAGCGAAGATTTTCTTTTATTTTGCAGTTCTTTTGGGATTTCACATTCATTTTGTAACATCATCTGTAGAGGAGTGATGTGAAACACAGGGTGAAATATCTGCTCTCTGATGAACTTCATCAGCACTTCACTTGCTTCTCAGTTTTGGACTGTATGCCTGGTTTTAGATCACATTCCTGTTTCCAGTCTGGGATTTCACTTCCCCCAACTCCAACACACGCCCCAGGTAGAGAGCCTCCTGCTAGCCCCATCTGTACTTTTCAGAATTTATGAGTTAGAGCAGCTTTCTCGATTTCTACCACAACAGCAGGTTAGAATTTCTCAGTTCTCTTCCCAGATGCTGCTCCAATATTACCTCTCACACATATGACTTTGTAGCTGTTTGAGATACTTTTTAGAGCATGCCTTAGCTTTTGAAATCTGGCAGGTAGGACTCAACCCATGCCAACAGCATAGCGAGCTCTGCCAGTGATCTTTAACGTGCTATATTAATCACTTGCTGTGGTAGAGGGACCTACCATTAATCCTGACTGAGCTCCAGGGTAGCACTCCCCAATTGCTGTCTGTTGACCAGCTCAGATCCTCAGCAGGCATTGATGAACTTCTAAAATCTACATCAGCTTATCTCTTGGTTGCTTGGTTGCTGTTGTCATGAGGTTTTCCTTTTGCTGCCCAAATCAATGTTTTTCTTGGCTTTCTGGCTTAATGACATTATTATAGATGTCTAAGTGATGCTGATTTTATGAAAGAAGCATGCGATACTGACTGCTAACTGCACTTTGATGTTGGACTTCTCATCATTAAATGTTATCATAGATTCTTGACAGATTCTATAGGACATCTTAGATGCCAGTCCTGTCCTCCCAACTTCAGTGCTACCCAGAGTCTTCTAAGGGGAAATTTGTACTTTCTTTTACCAGTCTTTGACATACGTGGCCATGGACCTCCCTGGAAATACCCACCTTGTAGCTATTCCTAGTTTTCTTGTGCCATAAACCCCTGTCCCAAGTTTGGCTTTAACTGACAGAGAAAGACAGTAAAATAATACTCTTCCACCAGAGCTGGTGCTTGGGCCTTTGTCTGTGTTCCTAGAGGGTATTAGCCAAGTCTCCCCCATCTTTCTTTCACTCTGGGTGATCCTCTGCTGTGACCTGTTTTCTGGGGTGTTACTCCTATGATACCTCTCCTTGAACATTACGTTCTCAGACTTCTGTTCCTACAGAAAGTTGGTACAACCGCAGGTGGTTAGCAAGTCAAATGAATTCAGATTTCCTATAAGAAAAAGGAAATGAGGTTCATAAGAGCCCATAAACTTTCCATTATGAAGCAATCTGTTAGCCAGCTGTCTGGTTGCAAACCACAGGTTATATTACCAGCGTTGCTTCTTCCTGTCTCTCACCTCTTCAACTAAAGCTGTCCCAGTGGCCCTCCTATGTGGCAGTATGCTTGCTCTGTCTGCTGGCCATGAAGGCCTACCTGAACAATCTTCCCAAAGCTACCCATGGTGGCGAAGGATATTAATAACCCAAATTACTCATTGCCATCCAGCTGATAGAACTTCACCCTTCCCTCATCATTGCTCTTCATCTACTTCAGTGCAAAACCAGCTGCCTTGAGTTCACGTGGCTGAGGTGAAGCACCTAAAGGATGGTAACTTAACAAGCCAACTCTTTCCATAGGGCTGATCTATGTCTAGATCTGTGCATTGAATTTTGTACCACATCATGGTCAGGAATTAGTCTGGATTCTGGCTAAGGGAGCATCTGTATCGCAGTAATCCTTCAAAATCACTGCTAGTAAAGTCAAGGGGAAATGAAGAGGTGTGTTGATGGTGTGCTGTATTTTCACCTCCTCTGCTCCTGTGCTGTTGCTGCTTTTCCTGAAAGAACGAGAATATTTCACTTCACTGGAGTTCTTGAGAGTTGCCAGAGCTGGCTTTGTTCTCCCTGCAGGATCTTGACAGGGAGTGCTGAATGATTTTTCACCTCTCTCCCCTCCCCACTGCAGAACGGGCCAGGAGGAGGAAGCTTCGTGAAGAGCGGGCCTGGCTGCTGGCGCAGGGCAAGGAGCTCCCCCCTGAGCTTTCCCACTTGGATCCCAGTTCCCCTACCAGGGAAGAGCGAAGGACTAAGGATCTGTGAGTATGCAGCTGGGCATGCAGAATGTCGGTGCATTGAAGCTTACATAGTGAATACAGGGAGGAGAGGAGTGTGGTTGTTCACAGGAATGAGGAGGGAGAAGTCAGGTTGGAGAACAGCAAGGAGTAAGCTGAAAAACAGCTGGAGTTGGTCCACACTAGAGGAGTGTTTGGGACGAGGCCTATTTGTCAGTGTTGTGGCACTGTGGGTGGGGTGGAAGGGAAGATGAGGAACAAAAGCATACCTTATATGTCCTCAATCTGCATATTCACTGTTGTTATTTCCTCTTACAGCTTTGAACTGGACGATGAGTTCACGGCCATGTACAAAGGTTAGTCCTCCTGCCCCAGCTTTCCCCTTTGCATGACTTGAAATACTCCTGGGCGTGTGTGTGTAACCATTCGCCTTTCTTTTGTTACTGCCAGTTCTAGATGTGGTAAAGGCTCACAAGGACTCTTGGCCCTTCTTGGAGCCTGTCGATGAATCGTATGCTCCCAACTACTATCAGATCATTAAGGTACGGAGAGTGGTCCAGCTAGCTTGACTGATGCACTTTGTTGACTGGGATCCAGACTTTTAGAAGTGTGTTGAAGTTTTGTGGTCTGTGTTACCCTCACAGTCAAACTGCATGACTCCAGTAGTCCCTTCCAGCCTTACAAGTCAAGGAAACCAAAGATGAGAGGCTGCCTCTCAGGAGAGCAGCCTCTGCTCTCCATCTCCTCTCTGTGAAGAAGCTAGCTCTGCAACTTTGTAAACCTCGCTATGCTTGCTATAACTGAAGGGAGGTTTTGTTGCATTTCAGGCACCCATGGACATCTCTAGCATGGAGAAGAAGTTGAATGGAGGTCAGTACTGCACCAAGGAAGAATTTGTGGGTGATATGAAGACCATGTTCAGGAACTGTCTTAAGTACAATGGTGAAGGCAGTGGTAAGAGCAATAAATGCTAAGTTCATCTATTTGCAGTGCTGAGTCAAAACAAGCTGTTCTCCCTCTACTCATCAGTACTTGATTTGTGCTTATTCTCCTCCTAGATTTTTGGGAGGCCAGATGAAAGGGTAGGAGCTCCTCAGTATTAAGGTCTGGGGTTTCAGTGAGGTTTTTAGTACAATTTGGTCATGCTGAATTGGGGCGCAACATACTAAAGGACTCCCATGTTGGTAGATAGTGAAGGCAGAACATACGAGGATACATTTCTGAACTCTCCTTCATGTGGTTCTGTGTCTTGGTGTACTCCTTCATCTCATAATATCTAACACTTTGAAAAGCATTGGAGTCTGGTTAGCTCCCAGTGTTTGTTGACTACCACAGAAAAGTGAGGAAGGAACCAAGCTTGTAACCCTTTGTATGAAAAATGTAGGACTTAGGTTCCTTGGCCATTGAATGAACAACATGACTCTGCAAATGGGAAACCCTGGGTTTAATTGTCATGCCAATTAAAGTTCTGCATGTTGATTAGGTAAGAAATCAGTTCCCACATGGTGGGTCATCACTGCAGACCGTGTCTCACCAGCACAACCTTGAAAGGGAAAATAGAGCTACCTGGCTTGTCGCTGTGGGCCCCAAGTAAAAACATTCCAGTGCTGCCACTGGGAGAGCTGTTTCCCGAGGAACTTCTGGGTTAATTTAGTGTAAACAGCTGGACAGTCATTTGCTTCAAGCCCTTGTCATTAACACCCCTCATGTCTTTTCCTTCCTATCCTCTTTGACAAAACGTAGGAGCCCCTCTGAGCAAAACTGTCCTGTGGAAATGACACAATGGTGACACCGATGCTGGCAATACCTTTTGTGTCAGAGTCAGCAAGTGCTTTAGAAACTGCACGTGGACAAATACATTTGCTGATTTTCCTCTGTCTTCTAGCATACAACAGAGACTCGAACGAGTCCAAGAAAAGCCTCTGAATGTAATCAAATGGCATTGCTGGAAGTTCACGTTTCTTCTTTCAGCACTCTGCTGGCTAACTGCGCAGGTCACACATCTCTGCAAGCAGAGGTGGTGCTTCTCGTAATTTTTGGCATTATGCTGGAACACTGGGTTAATGCTGACTTTGCAAGCCATGCTGCTGATGGTACTTTGTCATACCTGTATGTATGCCTGTCCTCTGGTGGGGTTACTGAACAAATCTGATGCTGCATTGTTTATTGATTTCAAGAATGTAAACCAAAGCCAACTAGTTAGAAACAGAAACCTTCCTCAAAGAAACTTTGTGGAGGGCAGATGATTTATCTGATGGGGAAGGTCTGATGTTGCTTAATTGTTTCTTTCTATAAGGCTCTCTGTCCCTGATGTTGTTGGGGTTTTTTGACTGCAGAGTATACCAAGATGGCTTACAACTTAGAGAGGTGTTTCCACCGAGCAATGATGAAGCACTTCCCTGGGGAAGATGGAGATACAGATGAGGAGTTTTGGATCAGAGAAGACGGGAGACGAGAGAAGAGGAGCCGGCGAACTGGCCGCTCCAGCACAGGCAATGTTTGGACTCGGTCTCGAGACCCAGATGGACCAGGCAAGAGGCAGCAACGCCTGGAAAATGGAGGAAAACCTCCGCCATATCGAGCTACTTCCAGGGCTCCTGCTTCTTCCTCTTCTTCCTCCTCCTTCTCCTCATCCTCTGCAGAGGATTCAAGTGGCAACTCAATGCAGCCTCCTCGAGAAGTGGGCCCTTCCAATGGGCGAGGTTTCCCTCGCTCTCTGCAGTACAGTGGCATGCCCAGCCCAGTGCCACATCCTGGCCAGATGGTAAGGACCAGTTTCTGCTGTTCTTCACCCATCAGGCCTGCGGAGGGAGGGAGGTAAAGGGGAATGAAGCTCTCTACTGTGAAATCCCTGCTGTGTGGCAAGAACCTTTCCCCAGACATTAAGGGTTATTATGGTTTCTACAACGGAAACTTTTCAGCCCTTAGATTTTAACTGGTACAGTTTCTGTATTTGCCACACTAGCTGGGAACAGTCTCCTGACATTTCCTATGGCCAGCATGTCCCTGTGTGGGCTTGCACCAGCCCTGGCTCCTTCAGTTTTCTTCTCTACTTGGAAAGTTACCCCATTGTGTATTGAAAGCAGTCACATTTCCTCTCCTAACTTGCAGTTTACGATACTGAACAAGCCGGTCTTCTTTTGTCTCAATTGTTTACAGATGTCTGGTAACTTTGTGCCATCTGTGTAGTACAGCATTTTGTGCCTTGAGTATTTGTAAAAGCAGTAAACGAAATCAAACACAAGGCCACCCTAGACTGCAGCAGTGACCTCCCTTTAGCCCAACATTTCTTCTCTGAATGCCACCTGTTGTGCCTCCCCTCTGGGCTTTTCCTCACCCATCCTTCACTGCCTTTTCCATTTTAACCAGTAATGTCTTGTGGTGTGGTGTATCAGCTGCTCCTCTGAGATCCAAGCTACCCCTCGCCCTTTTAGCTAGAGATCAAACAAAATTTTTAGAGGGCTTCTTGTGCAAATAGAGGGGGGCAGTAGGAGGCGTGGAAGCAATTAATATTTTGAAGGAAGTCCAGCACATTTCCCAGGTGTCCTGCTCGTGTGCTCTTGTGGTCCACTCTTCTCCTTGGAGCAAACCACTGCTCCTTCCAATCTTCTTGCTTGCTCCCAAGTAGTTGGGTAGCAGGTGAGTGTTGTGACCTGAGCACAGGGACGCATGGCTGTAGTGTGAGAGAGTGGCTTTGACAGGGAAGCTGTGTCACCTCATAGGAAACAGAGTACAGGTTTTTCATGGTATCTCCAAAAAGGCCATATGCTTATCTGTGTGGTTCCTCCAGCCTTGACTTTCTCTCACCTGCAGCAGCTCTGCTGCTTTCCTGTGCTTCACAAATCATTTTATTTCTTCCTCCCACACCCCTCCCAGAGACCAGCCATTCCAGGAACGTTTGGTCCCCTGCGCGGATCAGATCCCACAAAACTGTACGGCTCGCCACGAGTGCCTGAGCCCCATCCTGGAGACCCAGTCCAGCAGCACCAGCACTTTGCCATGCAGGTAAGAAAAGTTACAGCCAAGGGATCATGCACCCCAGGACCTGCAGGTCTCCTCCACTGCTTTGTGTGTTTGCTCTCACCAAAGACCCAACTCATCTCTCTCTCTTCCGCCTCCTTCCCAGCCGGTCGTGGGACTGAGCGAGCACCGCGGGCACAGGCTGGCTGCCCCAGAGAAGCAAGCCTGC